GGACTCATAGAAAGACCTGTTTACAGCCTCCCAAGAGCTGGCATCACAGGCGGGCGCCACCACCCCAGTCTCCATGGCCGTGTGGGAGTGCCCTGGGGGCGGGGCCAGCATGCAGGCCTGGGCATCGAACCCTGACCCCTGCACCTGCCCGCAGGCGCTGTAATCCACGGAGCTCCTGGGCCAGCCCTTCTTTCAGTTTCTTACACTAGGGAGACAATGCGATGTGTACACGTGTAGGTCTGGTCTATTTCACTTCTGAGTGTGGTCTCTAGTTGCATCCATTTACCTATAAAGTCTTTGAGTTTATGTTCCTTCATAGCTGAGTAATACTCCATTGTTTAAAAAAATACCTCTTTTTTTTTTTTATCAATTCCTTGGTTGATGGCATTTGGGTTGTTTCCAAGATTTAGCTCTGACCAGTGGGTTGCTATAAACGTCGGTGCACACATATCACTGTGGCATTGTCTTGGTTACTTTTCTCTCCTTGCTAGGACGAAATACTCGACATCAGAACTAAGGAAAGAAAGGTTTATTTAGCTCACAGTTAGAGATTTCAGTGTATAATCAGCTGGCTCCAAGAGTAGTAGGACATAGCAGAGGGCAGCCGCTCATGGCTGTGACAGACAGCAAAGAGCAAAGGGAGGAGCGGAGGCTGCCACTAGAGGCCTCTCTGCCGACCTGTATTCTATGCAGATTACCCGCCCCAGGGCGGGTGTAGCACTCACACCCATAATCCCAGCATTGGATCATGAATTGATCACAAACTGCAGAATCTGCCCAATGACTGCATGAGGCTTTGGGGGGACAACGAAGTACAAACCATAACAGGTATGATGTTTTCAGTTTTTTTCTGAAAATACCCAGAAGGGGACCATCTGGGTCAAATGGGACCTACAATGCTATTTTTGGTGAAATTTTCATGCTGATTTCCACCATGGTTGCACCAGTCTGCACTCCCACCAAACGGGGAGAAGGCTCCTTTTTCCTCACAGCCCCTCCAGCATTTGCTATGGGTTGATTTCTTGACGATAGCCATTCTTTCCGGCACAAAACGGAATTTCAGTGTTATTTTGATTTTTAACAATCTTTCATTTATTGATTTATTTGGTACAGGATCTCGCTACCCAGCCCAGACTCATAGTGATCCTCCTGTCTCAGCCTCCCCAGCACTGGGATTACAGGTGTGCACCACCTTGCCCAGTTCTGGGGCTGGCACAGCATGCAGTACCAGGAATGAAACCTTGGTCCTTGCGCTTGCTAGGCAGGCCTTTAGATCACTGAGCTATCCCCCAGCCCCAGCAATTATTTTAATTTGCATTTTTTGTATGACCAATGAATAATGTTGAACTTTTTCCATATATGTATTTGCCATTTGTATTTCTTCATCTGAGAAGTATATATTCATTTCAGATGCCCATTTTGGGGTTGGGTCTTTGAATTTTGAGGATCTGAACTTTTTAAATTCTCTACTTGTTCTAGACAGAAGTCCTTTGTCTGAGGGACAGTTGGCTAAAATTTTTCCCAATTTGTAGGCTTTCTTTTCACTCTGTTGATTTCTTTTGATATGCAAAAAAATTTAATGAGATCCCAGTTATTGAGTCTTTTAAGTATTTGCTGTGCCGTTTGTTTTTGTTCATGAACTCTGTGCTTACCCCTACATCTTCAAGATTTCTACCTATTTTCTCTTCCAGTAGATTTAGTGTTTGTGTTTTTGTTTTTTTGGGGGGGTGTTCAAGGTCTCAGTACTAGATTGGACTTGTACTGATCCGCCTGTTTACAGCCTCTCAAGAGCTGGGATTACAGGCATGTGCCACCATGCCCAGTCTCAACTGCTGTCTCAGAGCGCCCCTGGGGGCGGGGCTGGCACGGCAGGCCCGGGGATTGAACCCCCAGCCCCTGCACCTGCTTGCAGGTGCTTTAATCCACTGAGCTATTTGGCTGGCCCTGTGTTTTAATATTCAGATGTTTGATCCCCCCCCTCCCCCCCCGAACCAGGGATTGAACTCAGGCCCTTGCGCTTGCCAGGGAAGCGCTTATTCCACTGAGCCATCTCCTCGGCCCCTCTTTGATTCTTTTGACTAGTTTAGTGAAGGGTGATAGACATGGGTCTAGTTTCAGCCCTTGGCATGTAGAACTTAGTTTTTTCCAGCACCATTTATTAAAGAGGCCATCATTCTTCCAGCAAACGAACACGGCAGGCCCCTGTGTCAAAGATAAAGTGACTGAGTGTGTGTGTAGTGTACCTGCATCTTCTAATCCATTCCATTGATCCGCACGGGGGTTTTGGCCGGCATTATGCTGATTTTGCCACGGGAGCTTTGTAGTATAATTTCAAGTTGGGGATTGGGATGCCACCTGTCTTGCTTGTTGCCCAGGGTTGCCTTTGCTGGTCTAGGTTTCTTCTGCTTCTAGATGAATTTTAGCAAGGTTTTCTGTAGGTCTGTGAGGTATGCTAATGGTATTTTCATTAGGATCGCTTTAAATCTGTATAACACTTTCGGGGAGCATGCCAACCTATTGTTACTAGTGCTATCTATTTATTCACTTCGGGGGCCTGGCCCTAGCTCAGTTCTTTAAGTGGCTGCTTCCACCAAGCTGTCAGCCTCAGGTGGCTCTAGTTCCATCCCCACAACTCCAGCCAGCCAAACAAGCCCTGAGGGCATTCGGAGCAAAAAAAAAAAAATCTATTTATTCACTTCTTCTCTTGTTGGGACAAGGTCTCACTATACAGTTCGGGATGGCCTTGACTCACCTCAAGCTCACAGTGATCCTCCTGCCTCCTCCTGGAGCGTGCTGGGACTACAGGAATGCTACATCAGGACTAGCTGCGGATATTTGAACGTTCTCTGTCCATGTTCAGAGTAGGGAGGGCTTATCCTAGAGGTGCACAAAGTGAAGGCCAAGCTTTGTTCTACTTTAATTCATAGAGCTTCTGTAGGCCCAAGAATCAGATTTTAGGAAAAACCAATTTTCAGCTGGGTATGGTGACACACACTCATAATCCCAGCACTCCGAAGCCTGAGACAGGAGAACTGCTGCCCGCGTAAGGCCAGCATGGACTACATAGCAGTATCCTGTCTCAAAAACGGAACAAATACCACTTTTAAATCCCTGGTTAAGGGGCTGGGGAGCTAGCTCAGTAGAAGAAGCCTTTGCCTGGCAAGCGCAAGGGCCTGAGTTCAATTCCCAGTCCCTGGTTGCCTCAGCAGCAAGCTGAAATCACGCTTTTATTTAGCAATAGGTTACAGGTGGGAGAGTTTGTCCTCTGTCCCTGGGGGGGGGGCGGTCACCTCCGAGCACCAAGAGTGGGGGTTTTGTGTCACCTTTGGGCAGGGTCTCCCCGCAGGCGAAGCGGGTGCAGGCTGTAATTACTTCATTGCTGGTGGTTGTGGAGATGGATAAAGAAATATATTGTAAAATAGTACTTTTGGAAGAGTCACTATTTTTGAGACAGTCTGGCTGTGCAGTTCAGGCGAGCCTGGAGCTCACAGTGATCCTCCTGCCTCAGCCTTGCCAGAGCTGCGACGACGGGCTGGGCCTGAAGCCCTGCGTCCAGGGGGCGCCCTGGGGTTTCTCTATCTGAGCCCGCCTCTCCCCCACCGTGCAAGTCCTCCTGGAGCAGGGGCTCCCCCGGGTCGGGGTCACGGCTGTCTTTCCCTCTGCCTGCTGTTGGAGGCAGCGGACCTGAGGTGCTTCCTAAGGTCACGCACTTGGTCCTGTCTGCTCGGGCTCTGACCGCCTGGGGCAACAAGAAGGGCCAGCACGGCCGACTGGACTCCAGCGGGGCGGGAGCGCCGCGAACTCGGAGCCTAGGCCCCTGCCGGCCAGGACGCAGGAGGTCGCGGGGCGCCTGGAGCCCCGCCCCCAGCCACCCACAGGTCCCGCCCAGTGCCCCGCCCCTCCAGCCCCGCCCCCTCCGGGTTCTCCCGACGCACCCTCAAGTTTCTCCGAAGTTTTCAGCTAGTCCTGCTGTGGGGCCCGCCCACCAGCCCGTGACGTAACAATGGTGCAGCGCGGCGACCAATGGGCAGCGGCGGGGGCCGGCGGCGCTGGCCAATGGCGGCGGCGGACGGTCCCGCGGTCCTGCCTGGCCGGGG